AGCTATTTAAAACACTCTGGGGATAGATGCAATTAAAACAAGAACAGTGTGTATTTAGATATAATCAAGAACAATTCCTCATTAACATCAATCCTGAAAGAGTGCGAAAGGTCTAAGATAGTGTGCTTGGGTGTGTGTGTGTGTGTGTGTGTGTGTGTGTGTGTGTGTGTAAGAGCTAGAGGATAAGCTCATTTGCGAGCTGTGAATAAATTGTGCCAACTCTGCCCTCTAGTGGTTAACATGGGCTCTACTTCTAGTTCTGAAGCAATCCAGTTTTACAACACTCGACTATATATGTATGACTAAAAGTAATAAAATCTTAGATCCAAGCTCAAATGATTAAGTGTAATACTCACCGGTCTGTCCGAAAAGTGAAAGAGGCAGAGTTTCTTCCACAGTGTGTTGTTCTCACTTAGGATGTGCAATGTCGGTGTGGCCTGTCCCAAGTTAATGATGTCACAGGCATCAGAGAACTTATAGAGGATCTTGTTTTGCATGTGCAGGGGCAAATCACTGAATGTCATGCCAGTGCACATTTGCTGAGGAAACAAGAATCACAAAAAATAAATAGTGGACTAACAACACTTCTGTATTTCACATTTCTCCCACATTAAATTCAGCTTGTAAATTGGACCAGCTTGTCAATAAGTCATAATTCATAAGCAGGTACAAATGGAGCTACATGTATAGCACTGTAAATAAAAAGGCAGATTTTTAGCCTACTTCTTATTTTAAACAGCACTCTTATGACAAGTCAGCGCAGACAGATTTCCAGCATGGCTGCTATTTTAGATTGCTGCCTGGAAGTTCTGCGGTCCACCTACTCTGCGATTTCAATAAAAATACCTTGGGGATCTGGAGGTTGTTCAGCTCCTGCTGCCATTTAACAATGGTTTCCAGACGGCACAACCAGATGTTGACGTTTCCCACGAGGACACACCTGCCATGGATGGTCAGACTGTGCAGGGTGGAGCTCAGGTCTTGTAGAAGCTCTTTGACGAGGCGTGGGTTATAGTGGTCCTCCAGAACTGGAATAAAAACACAAGCAAAAGAGAAACATGAAGGAAAACACCAGGGCTATTGAGGAATTTTTTTTTAAGGATCATAACACATTTTTTGTTGTTGTGCGGGCTCCTGCCGTAAACCACCCCATATACATAACAAAAAGACAAATGGAAAACTAATATTTCTTTTTACAAAAAAGCTTCAAGTTTGCAAAAGAACTAAAATGTGTTTACCAGAAATATACACACCACTGAAGGATGAAAAAAAAAAAATACAGTCCTGGTCTGTCCTTTGTAACCCTGTAATGATGGAGCATGCTAGCCCTATTGGTTTTGCGGTTAAACATGAGACTGCAACGACTGAACAGCAGGATGAGAGAAAGCATGTTCTGATCGCTCAAAGGCTTCACATTCACACACGCACACACACAAAAAATCTATAAACATAAAAACTACTTTTCCCAACACAAAACGCCCTGAAAAAAACTAAATTAGAGTTTAGACACTGAAAGCCGCTGACACCAAAAGTAATAATGAAAATAAAGAGTCTGTCTGTGCAATTTATCCCTCAGACACCCCATGTCAGGTCTTCTCACCCTTTCTTACAATCTTCTCCAAGATATTGAAATAGTTTTTCTGGGCAGCTCCACTCAAAGACGTCAGCTGTGATCTGGCTATTAGCTGAAAAAGCTGTGGGTGGCAGAAAAAAAAAGGAGGAGCTTAAGATGCGCTATATAAGTCATACAATTAAAAGGTTTCTTTAACATCATGTACGATCATCAATGCTCACTTTTGCAACGTAATTAAATCTTCTCAAGTCCTGAATAGCGCTGGAAAAGTCTAGCCGGTTGAGAGCTTCGCCGAGTGTGCAGTATCCATGTCGCTGTAGGTACACATCAGAAAAAAACATGTGCACACAAGCTCTGTTAATTAAAGAACTGACTAATGTGTATTTTCCATTAAAAGACAATCGCTCCTTTGTGTGAAAAGCCTCAGTACTCACTTCTTTTGTGCTCCCTTTCTGAATGTAGATCCATTTATCTGTGAAAACAACTAAAAAAAAATGCAAAAACAAACATTTTAATGAAAGCTTTCTTACAGTTGTGCATCATTGAATTTTACATATTTTAATGACAAGAGAGGGACAAGATATTTCACCTGAAACTTCATGACTTTTTAAAAATGTATTTATTTGAAAAAGTTTGAGTCAACATTGAACATTATAACATTTCCAAAGTCTGAAATTGTTTAAGGGTTTCTGTATGGATTACATTACAAGTCTTACTGATACAGTAGGATAATGATATAATACAATCAATTTGTGCTCTCTAGAAGAACTGATAGTTATGAAAGTTTCAAGATCATTTAAGGGCAAATTATTATTAAAAGTATAAAAAGTTACTTCACTTCAGATTTTCTATGTAAATCTTAGCTATAAAATGCAGAAGTACTTAGGTAAGCTAGACAACCTCAAAAGGTGCACAAGAGCTGCTGATGTGCTTATTAATATTATAATGGATGCACTGCATCTGGAGACGGAGGACACTACAAATTGATAAAAAAGACAACATTTGCAGCACAACCTTAATCCAAATCCCTGAGAGTTTTATTTCTGTCTCACTGACTTTTGCACTTTTGTACACATTGCTTTTAATCTTCATGCCACAAAAAGTTCCCCGAGCCAAAACAGTGATTATGTGCAGCTGAAACTCACACTGGGATTTAGTGTTATTGTTGTAGAAGTCCTTTTTCCTCTTTGTGGTGGAGAGCTCACACACATCTCCAACAAACAGATTTTCATTGTTGCCATTGCAGAGCCTGTTTGGACAGAGGAAACATGTGCGTAATGCATTAATAACACTTCCACGCAAGTCTGAAAACACCATGTAATTACAAACCACCGAACCACTGTGGCGTCGCCCTGAAGCAAATCAGTGACTTTTTACTGATAGCCTGTGTATCACAGTTGCACGGCAAGATGGCTCATAGCCAAGTTAGGTGATGTAGTGTTACTGAACTTACAGGGAAAACCAGTGTGAGAAATAAATAATTAAAGATCAGAGGAAAAAAAGAAACTGAACGAAACCTGTTGTATTACTGCTACACTGATATGCAGGCCAAGGTCAAACATGTCGGACAGAGGTCTCAGAACATTAAGCGTGCTGTATCTAATCTTTGTTGTTTCTTGCCTCAGGGCTGTGTTATTTTTGATAACACAGAACTTAGCATTTTCGTTGTTGACCTCAACTTCACATTGCTGTCGGAGAACACTCAAAAAGGCCGAGCTCCAACAGAAATACGAATTAAAACATGTCACATTCAAGTCAACATAGCGAATACAGATGTTCCCAGGGTTTGTGAAGACGTTTCTTACCATTTTTACTGCATAAAAAGCCTAAAAATTCAGATTACAGTCCTGTGTTGTGCGAGAGACTTGTTGCTTACTTTGTGCCTGTTCTCTACTCTTTCAATCTACTTCCACAAAATTAAACCACCAATTAGGTAAATTATTACTATGTCTTTACTAAATTCAGGTCAAAATATTAACTAATACTCACAAAACAAATTACTTGTTGAGTACAAACAAATTAAAACAACTATCTACAAATAAATCTATGTGAAAAACAATAAAAAACAAAAAACAAGCTGCAAAACTTCAATCATGAATAAGAGTGTGATCATGGAGTTCTGGTTCGCTGATTTTCTAATGAGCGTTGTGAGACAGATCAAATTACTGAACTAAGCTGGTATCTGATACACTGCATTAATAATCCATTGGTTAAATTAAGCGGCAACACTTCCAGCTAAGAGAGAATTCTTGGTAAGCTAACCCCTCCCTGGGTGTCATAGGGTGAGACGTGGGTTCTTTATCGGCCATGTCACCAGCCTGTCATGACTGACAAGACAGACATGCTTATATTTACATCTAAAGCCAATTCAAAATCACTGGTTAACCTAACATGCATCTACACAGGTACAAGGAGAACTTGCAAACTATACACAGAAAGGTAGCATCTACCGAGTCCACTCAGGCTCGGGATTAGAACCCAGAACCTTCTTTCTATGAGGCAATAGTACATTGTACCATGGTGCACCCATAGCCCTTGAGTAAGTCAGAGTCCTGTCAGTGGGGGTTTCCAACTCAGGGTCATCATATGGGTCATGTAGTCTTTAAATAGTTCCCAACAGTGCTCAGCGAGCAGTTGGAAAGTCTGCTGATAACACACAGACTTGTTTTTTAATCTCATACCTTTTAAAAATGTGTTTCCAACTTCTGTGCTGCTATATCTCTATGATGTGACTAGCATATGCGCCTAACCTTTGGAACTAGTGGATGCTTTTTTCCTTTTTTTTTTTTACCCGATTGCTTTCTAGAGGTTGAAGAACTTGTATATTTGGTGCATTGACAAAAATGTCCAGTGCGGTTGGTCCCATGGGGCTTTATTTGATATGTTTTGTGACTTTTTCCTCTCTTTTTCCTGCTCTTAAGCACTGGATTTTCTTCTTTTGCAAAACAAGTTGGTTTGGACCAATCCTTTCTACCCCAATGTAGAATAAGATCTTGCGAGTGGGGCCTCGCAGAAGCACAAAGATAGCGGGGGTGGACTAGTGAAGACGGAGGGGTCAGGACAGGGACAACTTTGCATATTCATTGATCTGTCCATGCTAACAATCAAAAAAAAAAAAAAAAAAAGGAAAAGAGGTAGAGTTACATTTAATACATGTTAAGGCACGAAGGGAATTTTTTCATGGAAAACATCTTCGAGGAGAGCTCCAAATAAGACCCTAGGGCAAATGGATGGTATTTATACAGTCCTTTCTTTTGAACTTATCAAAACACTAACAGTGCAAGCCACATTTCACCATTCACACGTATATTCACACCATTAAGTCCATTATTCTGTGGACTTTATTGATCAAATAAACCAGTGGACGTACTGGGTATGCAGTCTCCTGGTCAAGGACACTTCAACGTGTAAAACAGTCAAACCAGGGATCAAACCACCAGGCTTCTGATTAATGAACAATCTAATCAACTCCTGAGCCACAGCTGTTCTACATTACACTGGTTATCAATTCTAATATACTTCCAGAAGCATATTTAAGTTGGTCTTATGGAATAAGAGGCCAACTTAAATTTTCTCCAGCATAAGTAAAGACATGGCTTTGCTTGTCTGACTACAGAGTCAGCTGATCAGAGTGAATGAGCTCCACAGTAATCCCTTGTCTCTATCCATTTATCCAGTTGCACAGGCATAAACACAAACACACTTGCAAGCGCAGTAATCTGTCAAAGTGAATTATAAAAAGGTGGAATTCAATAGGGTGACTTTCTTACACAGGCTGCACATGGAATAACCGTCTCCAAGGAACCAATAAAAACATCACAAAGGAACAACTTATTCAAAAGGATTTGTGGACATTTTAAAATCCTCAAATAAAAGATAAACAGGGCCCTGAAGGGAGCACGTAGTTCCAAAGGAAATTAACCGAATACAAAATATAGTATGAAGACTTTTAGATGATGTTCTAGTCTCTTAGTAGACAAACACATTTGATTAAGTTCAATCAATTTACACAATTACTTGTAAGAGAAATGAGCATTAAACTGAGGTTCAAACACTCAACTGACACTCGACAGCATGAAGATCAGTGACCAATTTGTTTTAGATTTACACACGCACTGTGATCTGAAGTACTTCTGTAACACTGTGTACCATTCTAGTACACACCCAGTGTATTGTCTCCTTTCTTTCTGGCCTACATGTGGTCGCCTGGCAAACGTACCTCGGTTGCCATGAGGTCACTGGCTTTGTGGAGGGAGACTGCATCTGAAGAGCAGCCAATTTGCCTAAATGATGTAATTAGTTATTGTCTGATGACAGGCTAAAGACTGCTGACGAGTCACTGTGGTACTGGGAAGTACTGTTAGTTAGACAGAAAATTCCCCTGGCCTGAAGGGGATGTCACCAACTGCTACTGAGATGCCACCAATTCCACCCTGTCAGTACCAGCGTGACACGAACCAAACCCTGCGTGTGTGTTTACGTTTTATGAGGCTTGCTCATGAACTATTGTCCACCATATCAACAGTCTCTGGTCCTCACAATGATCAGAGATGTCACCAGTTGACTTGAGAAGATCACTTTTCAGTAAACTCTAATGAAAATGCAACAAAATAAACAACAAATTTCTAAACAACAGCGGCGAGGGAGTCAGATAAATTCAAGATGTAGAAGGACGTGCCAACATATAAATGCCTAGTCATATACAATGAGGCAATTAATAATCCTCCATCCAGTAAAACTCCAAAACACAAGCAGAACAAGAAGCTGGAGCAGAAAAAAATTCATACAAAAAAGAAATGAATGAATACAGAAAATCCCCTCTTGTCTCCTCATTTTTACAACTGCTCACTGCCAGTTGGCACATGTCAAAACAATACAAGTTTCCTGTGGAGAACAACATGAGCTCTGCTGTGGGAGGCCACATGAGCTGCAGACAGGGGCAGTGTGTAATAAAAACCAGAAAGACGAAAAGCAGAAGATGTTTTTTTGGTTTAGCTGATCTCAACAAGCTGTTGCCATTAAAGTCTTTAATCCACTAAGCCCCATTATTTGAACACACAACAGCCAGCGTGTTTGAAATTGGAGGTTATCATTATGCACTGTTATCATGAAAGCCAAAGCTTGTAAAATAGTTATGATGTCAATTCTGAGAGGGAACCTAAGGTGTAACCTGTTGTTTTCCGTGATTAGGCTCAGTCATGGCAACTTATGCTTCAAACCTAACCAGCTCACAAGCACATTAACTTCAACTCATTTTGTTACAATCTAACAGCATGCACGATGAACGTGTGTGAAAAAAAGAAGTGTCATATGCACAGAGGTTTAGGATTAGCTGTATATACTGCACACAGGTCACATTCAGAAGTTGTTTGTATGATATTACTATGTAGTCAGAAAGAAAAAAGTTGAACTGTGTGATGTAAATCACCTCATAAAAGCCTAGATGTTATGGCACCAATTCTAAGCGATTTAATGGTTCGTGAGCACTTCTGGTCTTATTCTTGTAATTTCACCAAGAAAAATCCACTGTGTCCTGGTGGTTTGAGACGGACCATGTAATTGGAAACATTAAGCTTTTGTTTTATATTCCTATCATTTAATTTCCTGTCAACTCTCCACTGTTTTCTGTTTAATAATGGAAAAAAAAATGTTTACTTGAAAACCTTCTGAGAATGCTCTGCGGATGCTGGACAGTGTCTGACAGTCATGTCAACATTTAGAGAGAGACTTGGCAGTCGATCAGTTGTAGTCAGTCCATCTTTATACTAAGAGTTGCAGCGACATTAAGATTTAAGGCACTATTGGAAACATTGGTTTAGTAAGAAACACCAAGCCAAAACACCCTAATAAAGTTTAATATGCTTAAGTGAAAAAGTTATGACCCTGTAATACTTTATGCCCTGAGAGAAGCACGACTATACTTGCTGTGATTAAAACCTTGAAAACTTGCCAAAAAAATCGAAAACAAAAAACTTTGACACTTTAAAATAAATAAACAAACAAAAACACACATGCTTAGACTATTCTAAAACTTCACCACATTCATAAGACGGCAACCTGAGACAGAACTACTTGTAGAGGTAGCATAAATAAATCTGATCAAAGACCTTCATACATACACACATAACAAATTGGTTATTTCATTAGGAATTTAGTAGGATTTCAAAACCCCGATTGAGGGCTCTGTGAGAAAATGGAGTAACACTTCCCAGTATTAAATTGAGCAAATCAAATTCCCACTACCTGATACATTATGCAGTCAGCATAATTACCCTTCTACAATCCAGAATTCTTCTAACCAAAATTCCAAGTTTTCCCAAACGGTAACAGCCTTCTCTACCTGAGGTTGGCTGTGAACTCTCTGTCATTATTACCACATGGTTGTTTCATTATTCCAGACCTAAACTGACCTTCTGCTGGAATTTTGTGTCTTTAAAGAGGGGTTTTTTTAGCTAAAATTGTTAACCACAGAGCAAAGCAACTGAACTCTGAACTCATAGAAGTGGAGCTTTTTCACACGAGTCACATCCAAGCCTTTACCCGAAGTCTCCACACTGTGTTCAGACTCAGAGATGATTAAGGAAAAGGTGAAATTACGCTGAAAGCTCAAGTAAGCCTACTTTCTTTTAACACGGAAAACTGGAAGAATCACAAGAATAATCAATAAAGAATGTGACTTATACGCAGAACCAGATGAAAATCGAATCTAATCAATATTCGCTCCACTCTCACAGCGAGCTGTTTGTGTGTTTTGTCACTTGCTGTGCAAGTAGTCTGCAGCATTGAGAAACCTTGATGAGATATCACATTCAGATTTGTCACAATTAAATAATTGGTCATAATTAGGAGACTCTTTTTCACATAAACACAACTACAAACACTCTTTGCTCTTACAGAACTACAGGATTCACTGCCAAATCAATGTCATTGAAAACTATGTTAAAATATGTCGACTCAATTATTTTTTCTGTAACAACACTCTTTGGCAAAACCAAGCTGAAATTATGGGAATGTACAGTATAATCACCTCATAAAAGGTCAAAAGTTTACATACAGTCATCGTGAGGACCAATGTCATTGCGGATGGTGGCTGTGGCTCAGAAGGAAAAGCAGGTAACCTACAAAATTGAAAGGTTCAATCCCTGCTCCAGTTTGCATCCAAGATACTGAACCTGAGTTGCTCCCGATGTGTTCATCAGAGTCTGGATGGGTGTGAATGTTGGACAGAAAAAGCTTTGAGCATCACTGTTGCCTCAAAGCAAAAACAGAGGAAGCTGGGCCAGATAGCAAAAGCATCTGCATGAGATGGGACACTGAACCAAATATTAGTGGGCGCATATGTATACTTTTGACTAGGGATGGGTATCGTTTAGGTTTTATCTGATACCGGTGCCAAATCGGTACTTTTGAAACGGTGCCGGTGCTCAAACGGTGCTCAAACCGGTGCTTAAAGAATGGA